CAACATATCACAAGCACAATACAGACAATACAGAGTTACAAACAAAGTGGTAGGGAATTAACAATGGTGGTTGTATTACATATTGATATCTTCATTCTTTTATTTATTGCTAAAGTTTCACTTAAAAGCATCTAAAATCACCAATGACAGGAAAACGTAGAAAAAATATGATTGATAAAAGAATAATAGTGATACATTGTCCAGACTTTACTAACAAATCAAATCCAACAGGATATAAAAAGGTTTATGCACCACAATCAAGTGAGATTACCTCAGAGATGCAGGGATGATGGTTCAACATAATGCAATCATTAAATGTAATGCATCACACGAACAGAATGAAGGATAAAAACCACATGATCATCTCAACAGACACAGAAAAACATTTGATAAAATTTAACATACCTTCATATAAAACCCCCCAAAATAAGGTACAGTATAGAAGAAATATACTTCAACACAATTATGGTAAGGACTACATATGATAAACAGCCTACATGATACTGAATGGGGAAAATCTGAAATTATTTCCTCTAAGATCAGGAACAAGACAAGAATATCCACTTTTACCAATTTTACTTAATATAATATTGGAAATCTTACCCAGAGCAATAAGAGAAAAAAATAAAGTATGTCCAAATAGGAAAGGAGATGTCATATCTGCTTGCAGACATGATTTTAAAAAGAAAAACCTAAGATTATCACCTAATTTATCACCAAAAAAAGTGATAAATTCAATAATGCTGCATAAAAAGTATCATCTGTAGTTTTTTTACACACCAATAGTTAAATTCCTGAGAAGTAACCGAGAATGTCATATCATTCAAAAAAGCTAGGTGCTGTGGCACATGCCTTTAATCTCCGTTACTCTACGAAGCTGAGGCTAGAGGATTCCAAGCTCAAAGTCAGGCTGGGCAGCACAATGAGACCCTGTCTCAGAAAAACTAAACAAGGCACCCAGGAATAAATTTAACCAAGGAAGAGAATGATTTCTACAGTGAAAATTACAAAACACTGATGAAAAAAGTTGAAGAGGACACAAAAAAGTAAAAGACACATTGAAGGAATACTGTTTTGTTTTGTTCCACCTGGGATTGAATTCAGGGTCTTGTACATACAAAGCATTTGCTCTACCAGAGCTATGCCCTTGGACCTTGAATTAATTTTATTAAAGTGGCCATACTGTCCAAAGCAATCTACATATTCAGTCTAATTTGTATCAAAACACCAATGATATTCTTCTCAGAAACAGAAAAAAGTACTTGTAACATTTGCATGAGCCATTAAGACTTCTAATAGCCAAAGCAATCCTGAAGAAGGACAAGGCTGAAAATATCACAATACTTGACTTCAAAACTTACCATGAAGCATCAGTAAACCAAACAGCATGGCACTGACATGAAAACAGACATGCAGGGGCCAGAGATTTAGCTCAGTGGCACAGCTCTCACCTGGCAAGCACAAGGTCTTGAGTTTGGTTCCCAGTACAGGGAAGAAAAAAAAAAAAAAAAACAGACATACAGACCAATGGAAAAAAACAGAGTCCATAAATAAATCCATGTATTCACAGACAACTGATTTTCAGCAAATGCAACAAGAACATTCACTGGGGAAAGGAAAGTTTTTTCATCATATGTTGATGAGAAAAGTGGACATTCTCAGGCAGAAGAAAGAAATTAGGTCCCTGGCTCTTGCCACATAAGAAAAATCAACTTGAAATGGATCAAAGACTTAAACATAATACCAAAAACTATGAAACTACTAGAAGGTCCTGACAAAGTTTTTTTCGTTTAAGATACAACTCTAAGAACACAGATGCCAAAAGCAAAAATTGATAAATGGGATTATGTCTAACTTAAAAGCTTCTGTAGGCAAAGGAAACAATTAACAGAATGAAGAGATCACCTATAGAATGGGAGAAAATATTTGCAAACTATTCATCTGACCAGGGGTTAATTTCCAGAATATATAAGAAACTCAACAGCAGAAAACCAAATAATCTTATTTTAAAATGGGCAAATGACCTGAACACTTGTTCAAAAAAAGGATAAGTAGCTAACAAATATGTATAAGAAAAACTGCTCAACATCACTAACCATTAGGGAAATGCAAATCAAACTCACAGTAAGATTATCATCTCATCCCAGTTATAATGGCAAGAGTAAAAAAGAAAACAAATGCTGGTAAGGATAGGAGCAAAGGAGAATTCTCATAAACTACTGATGAGAATTAAATTAGTAAAGTTTCTATGAAAAACAATGTAGAGGTTCCTAAAAAGCTACAAATATAATTATCATCATGACCCAGCAAGCCCACTATTGGGTATATCTCCAAAGGAAATGAAATCATGATGTCAATGAGCCATCCATACTAGTGTTATGTATTACTGCACTGTTCAAGATAGGAATCAACCCAGGTATCCATGACAGGTGAATGGATAACATAAAACCGTCATTTGCAGCAACACAGATGAAACTGGAGGACACTATATTAAGTGAAAGAAGTCAAATACAGAAAGACAAATACTACATGTTCTCTCATAGAAGCTAAAAAGTTGATCTCAGAGAAGTAGTTAATGGAATGATGGTCATTATTCTATTCAGTTCTTCTCTGAGCCTAGGGTATGGGCTAGAAGTGACGGAGAAGGAAGGACAGTGAGATCAGAAGTGCACACAGACAGAAGGAATAACTTGTAATGTTCCACAATACAGTAGGGTAACTATGATTGACAAATTTAATAGGCTATCCAAGATAGCTAGCCAAGAGGATTTTTAATGTTCCAAAAACAAATGATATTTGTCTAATATGACAATATGGAAAATTACCATGATCTGATTATTTCTGTTTTACTGTCATTTAAGTATAAATTTAAAGTAGATTTTTATAAGATAAATATGATAATCCCTAGAACAAACACTAAGATATACTGAAAAATCATTAAAATTAAAATTTTACATTAGAAAACATTTGCTTAATAAAGAGAAAGCATTAAAGGAAAAACAGGAGGCTGGGGATTTAGCTCAGCAGCACAGCACCTGCCTGGCAAGCCTGAGGTCGTGAGTTCAATTCCTGGTACGGGGTCGGGGGGACGAAAAACAAAAAAAGGTAAGAAACTTCTGGAAAATAGAAAGGAAAATGGCGACACAAACCACTCTTAGTTTTTAACATTACCCATGAAGAAACGCAATAAAGCCAAAAGGCAGATCATCAGACTATAGAAAAAAATTCAGCTATATGTCATTGGAAATATACTTTAGGTTTGAACATAACAGGTTAAAGTAAAACGACAGACAAAATACATCATAAACAATCATAGCAGTGCCTATACTAATATTAGAGAAAATACACCTTTTGGTTCTTATTTTTGAGATACAGTCTCACTATTTCAAGTTGGCCTTGAGCTACCTATGTAACCCAGGCTGGCC